ATATATATAAAAGACAAACCTTGAAACCCTTGCTGAAACCCAGCCCAGGAACCATGCCTTTTTCTGATAGCATGGGGTCCACGAGTATTCGGTGCTCTTTCACTTCGATAAGCGTGCAAGCATTTCGTATTTGGTATATTTTCATCGTGGTGGCTAGTGTGGGAAGAGAGTATTCAATTCGTCTGTAGATCTGCGCCCGTCAAGCTATATCCTTGTTCGTTGAGATCGTTGAATGGCCCGGATATGTTAAGGTCGTCATATACTACGTTCAAACACCACATACATAGAATATAATAGTAAAGCAGTGTTACCACATAGAAATCTATCAACTATTTTTTATGGTAAAAGCCGTATAAAAAAGTATATTGGGCTCAGGATAAAATGACCATTAGCTTTCGGGGGTTTCAAATTTTTAGACCTCAGAAATTTGGAAGACGACTTTGATAAAATCTAAAAGGGACGGTGATTCGGCAAATCTTTTTTAGAGGGGAAGGGAACATATATGTAGTTGGAGTGCCGCGAAGGCATTGGCCCACTTCGAAGTCTGGTCACTGCTGGCGCTGAGTGAATATTTACTCTCGTGTTGTGTGTGGTATATCATAAGTTTGTTTCACAATACAAAACGCACGTATACAACTCACAAACCGAGTCACTTACAAAACGAAAGAGTCCGATTCGGACTATGGCATATTGCAGACTGCACACATTGTTGCTGAGGGTGTGATACGACTAAAGGCACACGACTGGTCACACCGCCACAGCTACAGACACTCGCAATGTACCACAACTGCGGGTTCGCACACACACAACTCTTCTACAGGCACGCATAAATTTCACACAAATACAGACACATGTAATATAAGCACATTCGGCCATTTACGCTCGACCCATCCCTACGAGTTATTTGTCACGCTTTCATAGGTATAAAAAGTCTGCGTAGAAAACCTGAACAGGCCAGTAATTCAGACTGGAACTACAACCACCGAGTACATAGGGTGAGAAGTATATGCGTTTATGCATTTGAATTACAAAAGCAACAATGCACGCAAATGCTGAAAGTGGCCAAGTCAGACAGAATAGTACCGCCAACGAAATTGAATCTGCTGGTGATGAATCGATGGCTATGAGCGCACGTCCAGTTGCCCCTGAAGACACGCAGGGTGCTCTCAAAGCGACACAAAATAACAAACCAAACGAAAATTCAAGTACCATGGACGATCCCACTAAAGAGATGACCAGCACAACGGACACCGCGGCACCTACTACCTCCGATGTAGGCCAAAATACAGACACAAACAAGACCACGTCTGACAGGACAGTCTCAGACATGGCAGACACAGACAACACAAACGCAAAGCATGCAGACGCAAAGCATGCAGATCCAAACTCTGCAGCCACGAAAGATGTCATTAAAACCTCCAATGCAACGGATGGGCCGACTGTGGGGGGGTTGATCCCCAGTGTGCGGGTGATAACACCGCCTAACCCTCCCGCAGCCGCAGTGGCTGAAGTCGGCTCTACACTTCCAAACATACGCACACCACAGCCACACGAAAGTGCACGGATACCCATGCCAGCCCACACACAACCCTCCGCACCATCATACATAGATACACAACAGAATACAGCGACCACTGCACGCACACAGGCACGCACACACGGGAGTGAACAGGCACAGTCCGCCGCACAAGAGACATCAGTAGACGGCTCCTCCAACGATGCCGTGGCAACTAGCAGCAAAGCAGCGCCAACAGCTGTCAGTGACATACTTGACAGGTCGACAGCGGACGCACCCGACCAACCGTACACAGACGATAGCCACACAAGCGATGGCAGTGCACAGGCACTCACACACGATAGCAGTGCACAAGCAGGCACTCGGCAGCACACTAGCCCTCCATCAGAGAGCACTACACTCGCAACCACTCCAAGGGACGCCTCCAAACCTAAGTATGCCATATCCAGCACCACGGACAACAAGGCACATCGTTCACATCCATATGCACAACCTACCAAAGCAACACAGCCACAGCTACTTCCACAAATGTCACAACAGCAACTACTTATGCTCAGGCCCATTTCCCCCAGACAGCCGTCACCCTCAGGATTCGAGGCCAGGAAACGCATCCATTCAGATCCCAACTCAAACGCAGCCATTAGCATGAGCATAACGCCCGCGGGCGCAAAACCCAAAGACAAGTCACGGTTCATAGGCATCAAAATCAACACGGACATGAAGGCGGCCCCCAGCCCAATTGCCAGTGCAGGGTCACGAGTGGATAGCAAGGGACAGACACCGCGCATTTACACGCCTCGAGCACACACCCCCAACAACCGATCCCCCCGGTCCCCACGGTCGGCCAGAGGGCGCGGATCCCAAGTATTCGTGCTCAACAAGGGAAGACAAGCCTCATTCCAGTGCTGTTGGAGTGGCTGTGGTGAGTTTGTGGGCGATCTCATGGACCACATCAACACAGTGCACATTGGCGTGGGCAGGGCTAAGTACGACTGTCTGTGGAAGGGCTGTGATCGCGGACGGGTATGTTGTATACGTACTATCTCGATTGCTCTGAGGTCCGAACAATAACCATGCTATGTACTTACTTAGCTGAATAGCATACTGCAGTCTTGCCTTTCTTCATTACATATATTCCTTTGGTCAGTTTAAAACCATACAATTTGAACGTACATTCATTCAGATTTAAAATGATGTTTATATATATATTATATATATATATATATTATACATATATATCTATATATATACATAAATATATACATATATATATATATAATATATATATATATATATATATATATATATATATACGCACCACTACACACACACA